TTAGGGCCAAGCACCCAAGGTCACTTCAGCACCAACTGATAGAGCCACTACCAGATCCCTGCCCAGCACTCTATCTGAGTCACCCCTGGCCCCAGCAGTTGAGGGTTCTCAAAGGTCTGGGACTAGGGAGGATGTCAGGTCCTAGGTTGGCTAAGGCCACAGATAGCTCAGAGAGGACATGGGTACTTAATTTGCTAGGGCTAAATCGTATTTCTCTTTCTCTCATATACATACTCACACACCTTTACAATCTAATGATTAATTAATACTACTATGACTCGTGTAGGAGTTCTGGTAGCATGTGCCTAAGCACTTGACTGCTAACCAGAAGGCTGGTAGTACAAACCCACCAGCCACTCCTCGGAAGGAAGGTTGGGCAATCTACTTCCATAGTGATACTGCCTCGGGAACCCAAGGAGGGGTCACTGTGAATCGGATCCGACTCGAGGGCACATAATAACAACAACAACATGACTCTTGTAGGCCTCTGATCATTCTCCTTTGAGCTACTGGTCTTTTGGACAGTTCCCTGTTTATTGGGATTTTTTTCAAACTTGCTACCAAGCACTGAGGTCAGAAATGCCATCTTCACATTTAAACACAGTGAAGCAAAGTGGTCAAGGCTTTGGTGCCCAGCAGACCTGGTTCAAATTCCAGCCCTGCCACTTACCACCCAAGATGACGTCTCTAAGCACCTGTCAAATGGCATCGAGAACATCCACTTCATCATCATGCTGTGAGGATTAATTTAGACAATGCGGGAAAAGTGGCTCCTATTGCTGTTACACTGAGCCACCCTGGACTGATGTGGATTCAGATTCACCAGATGACAGATATGCCCACCTGGCCTTAGCTTTACGGCAGGTGGGCATATGAACCTGCCTCCCACTCCAAGGCTCTGAGGGGAGTCTCTGACCTGGCAGGTGTCTGGCCCAGGTTTCTGAAGGTTTCCTGCACAGATCATGCTGTCATCAATCATGCGGTCATAGATTCGGTGGGAATTGCACAGAGTGTTACCGATTAGCTTAACTTTGGCATCCAGGAGCTGGCGGGACCCTTCCCCTGTGGGGCAGAGAAAAGAGGGTGTCAGTGCAGGTGTCAGGATGCTCCTGGCCCCATCAAGAGTCAGCAGGGGTGGCAATAAAAAGATATTACTTGTGAGTATGGTGCTCCGTTAAAGAAAAAAATAATCCATATAAGACCAAAAGGTCAACAATTATGCTAAACAAAGATGAGTAGTTGAGGGGCAGGGTAATTAGAAACAGACCAACCGGAATGCAGTGAAAGGGAATATTGCCACAGTGTGAAAAATAGAACCCACGTCACTGAGCAGTTTGTTAGAAATTGTCAAGTGGGAACCTCATTTGCTGTGAAAACTTCATAAAATATCATTTTGACAAAAGAAAGCTAATTCAAAGGAGAAGAGCATCTATGTGGTACAAAAGGCTCACTACCTAGAACAGTGCTTTCCAACAGACTCGGAAACAAACACACGTTACTCAGAAAGAAAGAGATTTCTTGGTCAAATGAAAAAATGAGAGTCAGCAGTGGTAAGGACAAGGCCGGGAAGGAAGGGTTTTTCCAGGAAATGGGCAGGGAAGCAGCATCCCCCGAGGCTGGGCCAGCTTTTAACCAGGCAGCACAGGAGCTTTGTTTCAGCCTTCACCAGACCTGCATTACCGCACTCATCACAATGCAGTGGGATCACTTATGTCTCCCCAACTAGACCATGAGGTCCTGGTGGTCAGGGTGGTGTCTTAGCGATTCTCAATCTGTGCACAGCAGAAGGGCTGACACATAACAGCTTCTTAATGAATGGATGGACACGTGTCCTAGTCAATCATCTGCTTCCCAGGGGAGGCACATCCTCCCCTTTTTGTTTTTGTGTTAGCTGCCCTGGAGCCAATCGCAGCTCGTGTTGATCCCGTGCACAACTAATGAAATACTGCGCCCTCCCTGTGATTGGTTGTGGGTCAAACTGTTGTGACCCACAGGGTTCTCATTGGCTAAGTTTCCGAAGTAGATTGCCAGGCCTTTCTTCCCAGTCTGTCTTAGTCTGGAAGCTCTGCTGGAACCTTTTCAGCATCTCAATCATGTGCAAGCCTCCCCTGACAGGTGGGTGGGGGCCATGCGTGAGGGGCAGGGGCTGGGAATTGAGCCCAGATCTCCTGCACGGACGGTCAGTACACTACCACTGAGCTACCAGTGCCTCATTTTCTTTCCTGAAGATAATGAAGTCAGTCAGAACGTGCCATTCGACTTCTAATAGGACATTTTAGAAGTCCATTCATGAAAGACAAAATCATTCTGACCTTAGGCCCTGTAAGATTCCCATCTAAGACATTGCCCTGTTGATGAGACCATACTTGAGCAGAATAAAGATCAAAGGGTTTAGATCAACAATAGTGAAGGTAACTACAAAAAGGGTTTCCTGGCTGACCTTAAATCTAATTAGCCAGAAGTCTCCTTTCCTAAAAGCCTTCTGACAATTTTGTATATTATATTCCAGTTACATCATGAATTTAAAGTGATTCTTACCTTCTGTTGTGAAGGACAAGTTTTGGGGAGAAGAGAAATGTATTTTGAGTATTTGGAAAAGACTTGAAATACTCTTCTGAATTTATTTGCATTAGAGGACATAATGCTTTCAGTACTATGAGAAAAATAACCTTATTTTTAGATAAGACCAAATTGTAGAAATAAATCAAGAGTTTGATTTAACAAAATTTTTAATAAAACCTCTGCTATGTGTAGAGCCCCGCACATAGTACTGCAGGAGAGAAAAGGATGAATGAGACCCGACCCATGCCCTCTGGGAACTGATTTAACAGATATCTCTACTGAATTCTGTTATCTTTTGTGATCATGATTCCACACCTAAGACTAAGTAGGATTATTGAGAAGCTAAAACTCAGTTGTCCAAACAACAAAGTTAGGAATCTAGCTCAAGTCTATCTGACTCCCAAACCCAGGTTCTTTCCAAACTTAGGGCAGGTGATGGGTCTCCATATATAGGATCAATGCCTAATACAGGTCAAGTACCTAGAGTAGGACAGGGGTAGATATGGATATCAAGGAAGATTCCTTGAAGGTGGTGAGATTTAAACTAGAACTTGAAAGTTGAGGTAGATTCTTTCTTTTGATAATACATTCTGAATGTAAAATTATTTTGTGCTCAGAAGGGCAGTTGAGTTTTACCATTTCTTCTCTGGTTGATGTAACTCACCTGAGCCTGGGGAACACATGGCCAGACTCACCTGTTTCTGTAACACCCCAGCCAGAGATGTGGCACTCAGTCCCAGAGGGAAAGGGACTATCAGGTATGCACACTGTCTTCACATACTTGGATTCCAGAGCACAGTGACCATCCACTGGCTTTAACTTGAGCAAAGCTATGTAGAGAGAAAGAAAAAGGATATAGATGACTAATGTTCCCCTTTTGTCAAGGAAGGCATCAACTTCTTGACTGGAAGGTAGTTGTCACAAGGCCCTACCCCCAGCCTGAAAACTTCCTTCTTCAGTAATTTTATTTCTTGACCTTCTACGTGGAGAGGAGAAGCACTGTGAGCTGTGAATAATTTCAAGAAATAGTAATTGAATTTGAAATAATTACTAGCCCATCTTTTAAAACAGGCTTTAAGAAGGAAAAGACTATTGGGGAAAGAGAGAGAGAGAGATGCTGTGAATGGGGAAATAGTGTAAAGAACCAAACAGCAAGTAGCTTAAGAATAATACAGTGTCACAGGCACTTTGTGTCATTTAACACACAGGAAGCTGAGGGTTGGATAGCAGCATTCCAATTTTATAGAAGAGGGAACGGTTCAAGGAGGTCACCCAGGCTAATTAGTGGCAGAGCTGGGATTCAAGTCCAAGCTCTTTCTAAGCTCTTAGCATCTCTTCCTTTCAATTTAAGAACTTGTGCACATTTGTCTATAGCACCATCACCTTTGAGAACTACAAAGCTGTGGAATAAATTCTCTACCGTACTGGGTCTATAAGGACCAAAAATACCAAGGACATCTCCTACAATCAAACCTCAGTAGAGAAATCCACCTAGGACAAGACCCATGGAAAGTCTACCATAGAAGATACTTGCCAATATCATTGTGGGGAATATCGTCTCTTTCATAATAGTGGCTGTACTTAAAGATCTTCTCCACTCCAAAGCTCTGCTCATGCAATTCTGTCTTTAGCAGGTCTTGGTCCCCTAGCACCACTTTCAGATGTTTGGCTTTCATGCTGCAAGGGAAAATAAGATGGTCAGGAAACAGCCCTGAGACTGAAGCCAAACCCTGGCTCTGTTCCTGGTGAGCTAGCTCTGGAACCTTGGTAAATCACTGAACCTTCCGTAGACCAGGTTTCCTTCTCTGTAATTGTCATCTCCCTGGCATAACTCTATTGTGTGTTCAAGTAAGACTGTGCTAGGAAACTGCTTTTTGCTTTTTTAATGGAAGCAGTCTGTGAAGATAAGGTTCGTTCCCACTTTCCCAGCACCCTCCCATTCTTCCTGGGCCTTGCTAAAAAAAATCCAGTTGCAGTCTCTAAGAAATCTCTTATAATCTAGTGGTAGATGCTAATGATGGCATGATTGACTGCTCCTGGGGGCATCTTCTAGACTCCCAGAAGGAATTGTTTAATACCAGGGTGGACTGGAAGACCTCCAAGGTCACCTACAAAACCTGGGCTTTGTAGGACCAGCCCTGACTGTAAATTTAAGGATTCTTCATGCATTCCAGAAAGTGCTTGCTTTGGAAGCACACAGAAGGTCTGACTGGAAGATGCCTGGCCCAGGAGGCTCACTGGTGATGAAGTGAGATTTGGGGAGGACGTTGTTTTCATCATCCCAGGCAGGACCCACGACCCTAAGGGCATGGGCTTTGGAAGCAGGTAGATGCAGGATCACCTCGTCTCCCACTTACTTTGCACATGATTTTAGGCAATGTGCTAATGCTTTCCAAAACTCAGGGTCCTTATTTATGAAATGGAAAACAACAACCTCTTTCACTCAACAAACATTTGCTTGATACACAGCACTTGCTATGCAGCAATACGTGTTCCAGGCATTGGGAATGCTGGAAATAAAAACTCAGGAAAAAAATCTGTGCCATCTCTCAGTTTGTCTTTCAGTAGATTGTTCTAAGGATTAAATGTCATAATCCTTGCAGATGACAAGCATTCTAGACTTGGTAGTTATTTTCTATCTGGTTTAAGGAGCTGCTGTCTGGCCCTTGGGGCTAGCTCAGTACCCTAATCCTTCCTGAGCTACTAAGATGCTGCACAGGTGGGAAAGAGAGCACCCCCATACATCCAAGTCGCCCCCAGCTTCTGCTCCCAGCAGATGTACCCAGTGCAGTGGGCAGCAGTGAGTACCCAGCAGGGGTGTATCAGCGCCCCCCCACAGAAATGGCCCTGGGGCATGGAGAAGGTCAGTGGCAGCGAGGTCTGCAGGGACGCCTGCCATGGGTGCTTGCCCGCTGTGCTCTTAAAGCCTCCATAAATCCTCTTGATCTTTCTCTCTGTTGTCTCAGTCCTCCCACAGGAGTCAAACCCTGGAAGCTTGGCTATGGGCTCCATGGGGCTTTCTTCTGGGTCAGCAATGTCTGTGGAAAAATAGAGACCAATCACAGCTCCTCACACTCTCTCTAGCTCATCAGGAAGACCTACACAGAAGTATGATGCTGGGGCCAGAAACTCAGCAAGTGTCCAGAGCTAAGAGCATGCACATAGGGTGGGCGTGTAGTAGGAGCACACTCAACAATCACTGAATAGATTGATTAATACAAGCAAGTGTGCAGGATTAACCATGGAGATTTCAAAGTGTCTTACTCCTAGAACATGTATACATACACAGAGAGATGTATGTGTAATATAAATCCATCACTGGGTATATGCTTAAGGAGCTCTGGTGGTGTAATGGATAAGGCATTTTGCTGCTAACCAGAAGGTCAGCAGTTCAAACCCACCAGCTGCTCCGCAGGAGGAAGATGGGGCAATCTAGTTCCTTAAAAATTTGCAGTCTCAGAAACCCAATGAGGTAGAAGCTTAGCTATTAATTAATCTGCACATATATTCTGGGTGCTTTTTAGGTGTAGACTCATTGCCATTAAGTCGATTCTGACTCATAGCAATCAGATGAGATAGAGTAGAACTGCCTTATAAGGTTTCCAAAGCTGTAAATCTTTATGAAAGCAGATGCCACATCTTTCTCCTGCAAAATGATTGGTGGGCTTGAATCACATTTCAGTTAGCAGCCAAATGCTTTAACTAGTGAGAAACCAAGTCCCCCTTCCTTTTTTTTTTTTTTTCCTTTTTTAGGTGTAGAGGGGAAAAGAAGAGGAGTAGAAGTGATAAAACATTTGCCCAGATAACTGTGATATAAAGGAGATAGAATTATAAGTGCTGGCTGGCTGGCTGGGTGGTTCCCCTTTCAGTAGCAATTATAAGGTGGAACAGGCATTTGGGAGAATAGGGAGGACTTCCTGGTGAGGAAGTTGGACCTCAAAGAATTATTGGCTATGGATAAGGATGGAGTATTATGGACAGAGGGAACCATGAGGAAGGCACAGAAGTGAAACTACCCAGGAAGATAATCCCATTGGCTAAGGTGAGGGAGTGCATCCTCTCAGGTATAGGTCGAGAGGTAGATCAGGGCTGCCCATCTGTGAGGCTAGAATTCAGACCACGTTGCACCTTGAGTGGTTGTGGGGATCCAGCCAATATGTATCCACCATTGTCTGCCCAGGGCTTGGCAGGGTGCCTAGCACACAGCAAATGATTAATAGACATTTGCTGAGGGCGCTGACTTGGAGTCAGAAAATGTGAATTTACAGTTGGGCCACTTGGCCCGAGTTTACAAATGTATTCTGGCCTGCTCAGCATCCTGAAAGGGGAGCAGGGGAATTGGACAGTCAGGTTGTCATTGGGATGGGGATTGGTAAAGCAGGTGTGGTGGGAGGTTGAGGGTGCCAGGAACATCTGTCCATGGATCTTCCACATGCCCACCACCTGGCTCTCCAGGCAGCCCTGGCCTTACCTAGGGCTGAGCAGGCCGGGATGTCACAGTACTCCCATTTCACCTTTGCACTGTTCACTTTGATGAAACACCAGGGCTTTTTATCTCCATCTGGATTTCTTAAAAAAACAAAAACAAAACTAGAGTCAAGGCTTGGTGTACCCACTGGATCTTATTAAAGGACACCAAACTGAGAACCACATTCCGATGAATCCCCCAATAGCTTAGCAAGCTCTGGGCTATGAGTGTGGTCCTAATTTTTTTTTTTTCAGCAAAGCCTTAAACTTCCAGAGGAGAATTCCAACAACCAAGAACTGGTGCACAGACCTCATGCCAGCTCCACAGAACATCTCAGATAGTGTGTGGGAAAAGAAATGAGATCCCCATTGAAGACTCTTCTTTGTCAGGAAAGTGAAATGCCTACAGAAACATGCTGAGAAAGGGACACCTTTGCCTGAACCTTTGATTCTATGGATAGTAATCTCTGAGAACGATTGTCAATAGGACAGCCCTGAAGACAGCTCCATGCAACCAACAGCTCAGGGAGTTAAAAAGTGGAAGGTAACTTCTGTTTTGTGCAACGGAGATCCTACTTGCTTAATGGAACCAGTTTACAGCCAGCAAAGAACCTGTACCCTGTGTATAAAAATTATGTATGTCCTTGACCTTGGTTAGTCCAAGGATGTTGAGAGGGAGCAAAGGAGAGTTCTGGAGGTAGCAGAAGAGGAACACAGTAACTAAAGTCATTCACAGAGAGAGTGACAGCATTACCCTTACTGGAGAAACCTGAGCATCCTTTGTAGCAGACTGTCATGATTGTCAAACATTCTATTTCCTTCTCTGTATTTCTCTCTTCAAATTGAATGAGGCCATGTGACTACTGAGGAGCTCTGGTAGCATAGTGCCTAAGGCACTTGACTGCTAACCAGAAGGCTGGCAGTTCAAACTCACCAGCCACTCCTCAGAAGGAAGGTTGGGCAATCTACTTCCATAGTGATACTGCCTCAGAAACCCAAGGAGGGGTCACTACGAGTTGGGGCTGACCCGACAGCACATAACAACAACAACACATGTGACTACTGACCAATGAAATGTGTGTGGGGAGATGATGGGTCACTTCTAGGTTGGGATAGTGAAGGACTCATACTCTGCTCCATTTTCCAGTCTCTCCTTGCCATCCCAGGGTGTTTGAGTAATGTTATGGAGCAGAGTTCTCCTCTCACCCCCTTACTACCAACCCACATGGCACACATTAACATTACCAAGAAATAAACTTTGACATATCTGAGCCACTGAGATTTAGGAGTTGTTTGTTACAGCAGCATAACCTAGTCTACCCTGAGCAGGACAACCTTCCTAGAAGGAAAGCTAATGGGTTTGTAGATCAATTCTAAGATTTATAAGCTGGCCCAGGAAAACTGGGAGCAGAGAAAAGGGGCAAACAGGTCCTTAACTGACAAATGGCTGAGCCTGAACATAGGGAAGAAAGTAATTTTTACCTGCAGAAGTTGTGTTCCCCAAGCCCATGGGCCTCAGCATCCTCCATAAACATGTTGTAGTTCTCCTGCAAGAGGAGATGGGAGTTCCAGTAAAGGCATGAGTGTTGGTTGACGGTCTTACTCACTTTCCCTCGGTAAGAGTAGCCATCACCCTTGTAGCAGTCATCAGAACCTTGGAGAGAGCAGGCGGGGATGTGAGGACTGATAGCAACTGGCATGCTACTCCCCAAAATGTGGGTGCATTGAGTAGTGATAGGATTGGGTCTAAGTTTTTACTATCCTGAGATTTCACCCCAAATTCCCAGAAAGAAGAGGTCTTGACTGTTCTACCTTCAACATAGCTTTAAATGATGGGGGTGGGTAGGTAATTCCTTCAGTTTGGCTCACACAAGATCTGGTGGAAGGTCCATTGAGGTCCATGGATGAATATGTGTGTTTACTTTGCTCTGGACCACATCTCAGTTTATTAACTTATTTACATGGAGCCAGATACACCCTATACTTAGTTTGGAAGGCTGAGGCAGTAGGAGAGTTTGGGAAACTGAACTTGAACCATGTTCTGGCAAAACAAACAAACAAACAAACAAAAAACACTGAAATGAAACAAATTCCAGGAGGTCTGAGTTTCCAATGCGGTAGTAGCAGTGCCTCATACCTATTTCACAGAATCTCCCCTTGAACTGGTCAGGGCAGCTACAGGTAAACTTGGATCTTCTCCTATGCCGGGAGCAGGTACCACCATTTTGGCAAGGGTTTGGCCTGCACACAGGAAGCACTGTGAACATAGGAAGTGGGACCAGGAAGGCTCTTCAGAAGGAGTTGAAGCTACATCTGAGATGACCTGGAGGTATTGGTGGCACTATGGTGGTGTCCATCCTTTCATAAAAAGACAGATCACCAAAAGGGAAAGACAGACCCACTGACACTTTATTAAATGTATGAACTTTAAGAACATGATCAAACATGAATGAAACAGTGTGGGTGAACATCATGCATAAAGAATAGATGGGTCCCTCAGTAAGGAAGAATAAGAGGCATGGACTGAGCAGGAATTATGGAATCACTCTGAGCTAGGTTGAAACTTGACCTTACCCCTTCATGGCTGTGTGGCCATGAGCTCATTATTTAGTCTCTTTGAACTTCAGTTTCTTCATCTATAAAAACCCTTCCTTGCAGTGTTGTTGAGAGAACTTGAGAGAGAATGTAACTCTCCTTGGACTTTACCTGATTCATAACAATGGCTCAGTATACGTAAATTACCCTGCATGGCCCATCCCAGGAGCAGTCCAGGCCCACTTCCTGAAGGAAGTGAGTTTCACGATGACTGTTTTTGCATGGGAAGGGGGCACATATCAGTCATTTCCCACTAAGCTCACCAGGGATGACCAATCTTAACAAATTCTAGTTATTAGAGCCATCTTGGCTGCCATGCAAACATCAGATGGATGTAGAGACCCAGACACAGGTCAGGGCAGAGAAAGGCTAGCTCAAAAGGGACCACTTACCTCTGGAGCAGTCTGAACCCGTGTAAGGGTGTTTACATTGGCAGTGGTAGTAGGGAGGAGTCTGAGTAATGAGACATTCACCCCGGCCACAGACTCTGTTCTTGCACTTGTTTTGCACTGCAGAATATCCATAAAGAAGTGGGGACAAAGTAGTAGACTATTATTTGGGGATACATTTTACTTACATGGATACCCATATATCACAGTCATAAAGCCAGTTGCCATCAAGTCAACTCCAATTCATAGAGACCCCATGTCAGAGTAGAAGTGTACTCCACAGGGTTTTCAAAGGCTTGTTCTTTGAGAGTAGATTGCCACATCTTTCTTCTGAGGCATCTCTTGGTGAACATGAACATCCAACCTTTTGCTAAACAGCTGAGAGTGTTAACTATTTGCACCAACCAGAAGCACCAGTAAAACATTTAGAGGTAAAGGTGAATGGGTGGCAAAGTTTATATGCCCTTGTCCATGGTCCTGAAATACCATGTTACACCAAAACTAAACCAATCTCACTGCAGTGGAGTCAGACTCGACTCATAGCGACCCCTCCTTGGGTTTCTGAGGTGGTATCTCTACAGAAGTAGATTGCCCAACCTTCCTTCCAAGGAGCGACTGGTGGGTTTGAACCTCCAGCCTTCTGGTCAGCACCAAAACAGGCTTTTCTCTTATCTTGGGGTCACTGGTGATTGCTTCCCAGTTTCTCTCCATCCTCATACCCTTTCTTTTCTATCTTTATTAAAAACCTGAGTTTTTACATTTTAAATAAACAAATAAAGCTGCAGTTTGAGTTTCTGCATTTTGTAGCTGATTCCATGTTCATTTTACAGATTATATTATTCTTCCGAGAAATTGAAGTGTAAAGCTCCATACTCATCTCAGATACTATGTTCATGCTTGATATCTCCAAGTATCCTGAAACAGTTATTGGAGTAACTAAAGGATTGAAAGTTGGAATAATCAGTGAGGAGAGCACAGAGAAAAGAAGGCAACCAGAAGATCCTACAAATACATAAGCCCTTCACTACCCTTCCAGTCTCTTCCATGGAGCTGATCTCATAAAGATTACAGCCTAGAAGACCCTATGGGGTGGTTCTACTCTGCCCACATGGGGTCTCTATGAGTTAGAATTGACCAAACAACAATAACAACAAGGCCCCAGTAAGAGGGTAGCTAAACTGAACAGAATACAGATTCTCTCCAGGGGTGTAATCAGCCCATAGAATTTGAACCTTAGTGCTTTATGCTCTGGCTACGTGCTATGCCCATACAAGCTCGCTGAAGGCAGACACAGCTTTTATTAGGGTCTCCATGAGGGAGGATGCCATGAAGAAAGAGCACTGGGCCAGGAGTAGGCATCAGGCAGGAAAGTCTGATCGCCTCCTTACTAGTTCTGTGATCGTGAGCGAGCTCTCTGCACTTTCTGGATACTTGGAGATAACGAGCATGAACAAGTGTCTGAGATGAGTATGGAGCTTTACCCTTCAGTTTCTCAGAGGAATAGTATAATCTGTAAAATAAACATGGAATCAGCTACAAAATGCAGAAACTCAAATTGTAGCTTTATTTGTTTATTTAAACTAACTGATCTGGGCTGTATGTGTCCTGAGATCTCTCCTGCTTTTCCATTTGAGGATACAATTTCTCTGTTGTTGCTAGCCTAAACACTCTTAAAAAATATCCTGGGTTTTAAATACACCTTGGTCAGAGTCCTGCTCTTGTACAGGTAAGCCTTGGAGTTATTGCAGGTTTCGTGCCAGACTACTGCAATAAAGAGATATCATGAGTCACACGGATGGTTTGGTTTGCCAGTGCATATAAAAGTTATGCTTACACTATATGTAATCTGTTAAGTGTGGAATAGCATCATAAAAAAGTTTGATATTCTGTGCAAATTACCAAAATGTGACACAGAGACATGAAGTGAGCACATGCTGTTGGGAAAATGGCACTGATAGACTTGCTCAACACAGGGTTGCCACAAATTTTCAATTCATTTTTCTTTTTTTAAAAAAAGCAGTACCTGAGAAGTGCAGTAAAATAAGGTATGCCTGTACCCTGTTAGCCTCAATCATCTCATCTGCAGAATGGATATACTAGTTCCATATCACAGCATGGAGGGAGGATTCGTGGTGATACTGCCTGGGACCAGGTGGAGGAATCTATTCTACATGACACCATATGTGCAGTTATGATGCTTTGCATCGGTCCACTTGGCCCTTCTTTTCTCCATAGAGTTGGAAGAGGAACTGCCTCTTCTTCATCTCAGAGGGAAGCATGAATCTGGGGAAAATGCACTCACCTTTCTGACACCTGTTCCCAGAGTAAAGGGATGGACAGCTGCACGTGAAAGTGTCCCCACTGATAAGGCAATCCCCACCATGCTCACAGGGATTGGACAGACATGGATCTAAGACACAAGGGCAGAAGTCAGTGTTTGCAATAAGTAGCAGAGGAGAAGTCTCTGCATGCTCCATCCTCTCTGGCCTCAAATGAGAGAGAAACTCTAGAGTCAGTGATAGAGGAAAGGGAGAAACATACATTCTCCTTAAAGAGCAGGGAAAACTGCAGTCATACGACTAGAGAGAGTGATTCAGACTCGCAAGAAGACAGGCGAGGAGTTGTGACTGTCTTTCCTTGGCCTGGCTTTGGACAAGGCCTTTCTCATTGAGAAACTCCCTTTTCCACCATAAGTGTTTTCTCCTCCCCGTCTCACTGGGAGTGCCACGGGGTCTGTCTCTGATGCTGAAGGCATTTCACAAGCCCAAAGACCTCCTCTACTCCCAGTGCCCAGGGGTGGAGGTCAGGCGTGGGGAACGAACACCCGCCCCTAATGAAACACAAGCTTTCTGAACATCAGGAAAGGAGACCAAAGGCAGGAGGGTGACAGAGGAATTGACGGCGAGGAGGAAATGACCCAGTGGCCTTCATCTTTCTTCAACTACTTGTTCAGTTAGATTTTGTCATATTTCATCTGTGCCTTTGGCTTTTCATGGCTGTCTGAATGGCTCTTCCCTTGGGGAATTTCTATCCTTCTATTCACACACATTGTTCTTTGGTTCAGGAACTAGGATCCCTGGGCCCAGCTCTTGTTTTGATGGTCCCTTCTGATGTTCCCCCGATGCCCCATATCTTGGCCCTGCCTTCCAGGCCACTTCGCACAGTTAACACAGCTTTTATTCCAGCTACTAAGTGCTTTCCATTCCTTCTCTTAGCTTAGTCACATGGCTTTGCTTGGGCCCTGATTCTCATTCCCTCTCTGTCCCTATTGCTTAGATGACAAAGCTACAAACACAAGTGTGGTAGAAGCACACATGTGTGAGTATACACACACACACACACACCATAACTTTGATGCTTCTGAAGGATGAAAGTAGAAAGGAAAACACAGCAAAGATGGAAGGAAAGGAAAGTTCATTGCCAAACTTGTTAATGCTACCGCAGTCTGATGCAAAATGTTAACTCAGACTCTTCTGTGTAGTTAGGATCTGACTGCTGATAAAAGCTATGGAATAATTTTGTGCATGACTCCTACTCATAATGCCAGGCCATGGAAAATTGATTAGAACAGGAACCCAGAGACCTGGATTGTGATGCACTAATTTGCCATATGATTTTGGCCAAGTCAGTTGCCCTCTTGGCCTCACTTACTCCATCTGTCATTTGAGAAATTGTCTCTAAGAACCTCCCCTGGTCTCAAAGTACATGATTCCAACTTAAGAGAATTCAATCTAAATCATTTCTTTGATACTTCTTTTTACAATGCTGCCAGAGAGGAAGAGAGAGGCCCTTGCATATGGCTGCACATAAACTCCCTTTCAGGTGTGCTGCCTCTCTCAGGAGGGCCTCCAGAACCAAATTTGGTACCCACCATCCTCTGTGTAGTACCAATCAGGATTCTCATGGTAGGAAAACGTACTAGTGGTGTTCTTTTCCTGGTCATAATACTCGTAGCTATATTCATAGTTGTCAGGAGTCCAATCTGGAAGGAGGGAATAGTAAGAAGAAACCCTCATTAGATCTAAAGAAGGCAGCATTTTATTTAGTCGAAAACCTTTTTTCCCAAAAGTTCAAAGTCCTGAAGGAAGACTCACTTGTCTTCTCTGCCCCTCATACTGGTTGGTAAGGCCAGGCAGGGCCAGGCACCGGGGGTGGGGTGGGGTGGATGGGCAGGGTCATGCAGCATTTTTCATCTGGGGGATGGTAAGAGCAGCATGGTTGTGTTGGTATTTGGCAGATTAAAGAGCACCTTATTGGACATGGGGAGAGCAAGTCAAGTGGGTTTCCACTAACTGTGTGATCTTGGACAAGCTACTTGTATTCTTGATGTCTCAGTCTTCTCATCTGTAAGCAGAAGGAAGAGGGATAGTACCTACAAGGTCTCCAGGTCCTATGTGTGATCTACCAGGGTCAGATCAAGTGGCACTTGAGTGTCTTCTTGGTTTATTATGCATGATATTTCTCAATGGGACTTTATTAATCACCTTAGCTTACTGAAATCAAGGGAGCTGGTCACTTTCCTCTTCGTCACAGAATCAAACTACTCCCAAGTTGTAGCTCTAAAGTCATCACAACAGCTGACATTTATTGAGCCTTTGCTATGTACCAGCCCTATGTTAAGACCCATGACAACTTGAGATGTGTATTATTATCTTGTTTTAAGTTGAGAAACCTGAGGCTTGAAGAGTTTAGGTAACTTGTTCGAGGTCACACAGCTAATGCACAGCAGGATATGAACTCAGGCAGTTTGTCTCCAGATAGTCACTAAGTAACACTAGCTCAACTTCAATGCTCAACTGCCTCAACCGACATCTTACATTGCCTTGGATTCATCCACACTTACCCTTTGGAACGGGTTCAGCCATCCCCATTGGCTATTCAGGGAGCTCTGGTGGCATAGTGCCTAAGGCATTTGACTGCTAATCAGAAGGCTGGCAGTTCAAACCCACCAGCCACTCCTCAGAAGGAAGATGGAGCAATCTACTTCCTTAGTGATAGTGCTTTGGAAACCCAAGGAGGGGTCTCTATGTGTTGAAATTGACTCCACGGCAATGAGTTTTTGAAAGTTAATTGGGAGTTGCCCAAGGACAACCTTAAAAAAGGTTCATGGGTCTTGCCCAATGACAGAGAAGGCAGCATACTGTGTTGCTCCCAGTTGTCAACCTCATGCCAGTTAAGCAGGAAAAGCAGGTGTGAGTAAGGCAGGACTCAAACTCCTTGGTCTCTGGGGCCTTGGGAGATGCTGGTAGCTTTGTGGCTTATAGAGAGAAGTTTGAGATTTGAAGAAAGTTGGGTTGACTTTTCTGTCTTGTGGGAGTGTGGCAAGGAGGCAAGTTGAAGCTGTAAGGAAGCTGTCCAGAGATGCATATGATAATGAAGCACGAGCAAATGCAGATACCTGACTTGAAAAGGCATTCCTACAGAGCGGCTGATGGCTTGGAGGATGGCACTGTACCTATGCCTGATTATCAACCACATTATCTTACTCGGCTCTCAGTCATTCTGTTATAGTCTTTATCTCTTTGGCTTTTGAAAAATCGACTTTTGCACAATGACTGCTTTGTATTTCCCATTAAAATGGAACTATCTTTTTATTTCTTTTTTGAATACACCAACTCTGGTTCCTTGCCAAAGTTTCACCTCATTTATCACAGTGTCAAGTCAAGACTCCCTTTGCTTGCTCATTATTTCTCCTGAGCTGCTTTCCCCCACTATGAAAATGCTCCCAGAGGGGGCCACCTTTCCAGGGATGAGGATCCAGGTTTAAGATAAGGCCATTGTCTTCCTGGAGCAAATAAAGTTTCCTTCCATCTAGTATGATAAAGCAGAGAGTGAGAAAAGTGAGAGCGAAAGCTAGACAAAAAAATGTTTTCCTGAATTTGACATGAAAGCCTTCAAACTGACATTTGGGGGAGAAAATGGGGTTTGGTAATGACATGATTGCATTCTTTCTTTCTTTATTCTTTGGGGAGCCGGTGTTTGTTTTTCCAGCAAAGGTTTATAGATAAGTGCCCATCAGTTTGCTCCCATAATTTCTCCTATCATTCTCAGGAGGTTGAGGATCAAACCAGTTCATCTTGGCTAGGCCATGAATCACCACCTTTTTAAGCTATTTGGAAATGAGGAAGATTCTTATGCTGATGAGATGCTGTGATCTATCAAGTGATAGAGGATGGATGGAAAGTGTTGGAAGATTGTGACTTGACTCCAGCCACGTCAACAATGTCTGCTCATCTATCAGTGAAGCTAAAGAGAGGATATAACACTCAGACTTTGAATCTTAGTCCTGCTAAATAGTAAAACAAGCCCTTCCTATTCTATAGGAAAGGAGCTCTGGTGGTGCAGTGGTTAAAGCATTTGGCTAATAACCAAAAGGTTGGAGGATCAAACCCACCAGCTGCTCTGCAGGAGAAAGATGAGGCAGTCTGCTTTTGTAAAGAATTACAGCCTTGAAAATCCAATGGGGCAGTTCTGCTCTGTCCTATAGCGTTGCTGAGTTGGAATTGACTCAAAGGCAATGGATTTAGTTTGGGTATTCTACAGGAAGAAGCCCTGATGGTGCAATGGTGAAGTGCTCTGCTGCTAACTGAAAGTCCAGCAGTTTGAACCTACCAGCTGCTCTGCAGGAGAAAGATGTGGCAGTCTCCTTCAATAAAGATTTTCAACCTTGGAACCCTATGGGACAGTTGTACTCTGTTCTGTAGGGGCTCTATGAGTCAGAATCAACTTGATGGCACACAACACACAAACACACACACAACACACATTCTCTAGGACTTAGAGTCCTTGTTTGAGGTGGATAGAACCAGCATAGGCCTGGAGGTCCCACCTCACAAAGATGGAAGAAGCTGTCCAGTTGAGGGCTGTGCAAAAGAAGGTACAAAGATCTTTACACTTGAGGTTGGGCTGCGATGTGTTTAAGAGGATTTTTAGGAGCAATGCCAGGGAGACTTTCTCCACTTCAAAATTCAAAGCTCGTTTTGTCTTTCCTAATGGCACTTAATCCCATTGTCTATTTGAGAAACCTGTATTGTGGACCTACCATGGACCAAGTATTATGGTAGGAGCAGGAGGGCATTGCGACAGTGGAGGGTTATACAAATAGAACTGATAATGTTTTCTGCCCTCAAAGGAGACTCTATTAGGGTTGGGTAGGGACCCTGACTCATAGCAATCCTATAGGACAGAGCAGAACTACTGCTCCATAAGGTTTTCAAGGCTGTAAATCTTTACAAAAGCAGATTGCTTCATCTTTCTCTCACAGAGTGGCAGGTGGGTTTGCAGCCCAGCCAAGGGAGATATAAATGGGTAGTGAGGAGGTGGGGATGCTAAATGTGGCCAAGGCTGGGCCTGGTAGCTTCAAGTTCCATATTGGAATCCTGGTGCATAATAGCAAATTGAACCCCATTCCAGAATGTGGTAGATTGATTACAGAATGGCCCAGATTCTTCACTCTCCCCTGTGTCCACACCTTCTGCAATGTGACTCTGAAACTCCTCCCATCAGGAGGTGGAGTCCATTTCCCCACCCATTGTATCCAGGCTGGCCTGAGAACTTGCTTTGACCAGGAGCATATGGTGGAAAGACAGTGTGCCAGCTCCAAGCTTAGTCCTTAAAAAGCATCGTGAGCATCCTTTCTCTCTCCTGGATTCTTGTGACTTCCATGTGAACCAGTTCTGCCTATACTTCAGGAGTGTAAGAGACCCCTTGGGACAGCAGCAGGTCTAGTGGGCCCATCTGAGACTTCAAACATATGAGAAGAGCCATCCAAGATCAGCAAAACGAGACCCCAGCTAATCCACCAGGTGATTTCAGACATTGAGCAAGCCCAGCCAAGGTCAGCTGAGCCTGGCCCATGTGGTCTCTTATTCTCCCACAGGAAGGCAGAAATCATTCACATGGAAATCATGAGAGTCCAGCAGAACTTCCCAGCTGAACTCAGCCTAAATTGCCAATGCAAAGAATTATGAATAAATGGTTAACAGTTTGTCAGTAAGTTTTAGGGCATGTGTTTATACAGTAATCATGAACTGATAAATAGGGCTTGATTTATATTGGGTTGCTAGGGGGCAAGAATTTCTGAAACAACAGCTTTCCTCAGAGGTCCAATTGGCTGCAGAATCTTAGGAATGATGGCTGGACAAAGTCAGGTAGCATCTCTCTCCAGGGATTAGTATTGAATTTGGTCCATCTGATTTGTTTCCCCTACCTAGATACAGGCCCATGTAGTTTCATTGCACTTTGTTTTATTGTGCTTCACAGATGCTGCATTTTTTACACATTGAAGGTTTGTGGCAACCCTGTGTCCAGCAAGTCTATTGGCACCATATGTCCAACAGCATGCACTCACCTTTTGCCTCTGTGTCACATTTTGGTAATTCTCACAATATTTCAAACCTTTTTCTAATGCTATTCCACACTTAATAGACTAATAAAGTGTAAACATAACTTTTATAGGCGCTGGAAACCAAAATATTCATATGACTCGCTTTATTGCAATGTTCACTTTATTGTGTTGATCTGGAACCAAACTGGCAATATCTCTGAGGTATGCCTGTAGCTGGTTTCAGTGATAGCTGTTTGTTTCTTGGGAGAGTAAGAGTAAGAACAAGTGCCATGTCTATTCCTCTGTCTACCCTATAGCGCTCAGCACAGAGCCTCACATTGGTAAATGTCACTTGACAGATGGGGTTTTCCCTCTGTGGCCAAGATCCTTGCCTTCTGACTTGCCATCACACCACTCTGCCAGAAAGATGGTGTCTACCTAAAAAATAATAAGAAAAAACCCATGGCTGTCGAGTTGATCCCAATGCATTAGTGACCCTACGAGACAGAGCAGAACTGCCCCGTAGTGTTCCCAGGGCTGTAAATCGTTATAGAAGCAGATTGTCACATCTTTCTCTTGCAGAGCACCCATTGGGTTCAAGTTGCTGACTTTTCGGTTAGCAGTCAAATGCTTAACCATGGTGCCACCAGCACAGAATAAATGGAGAATTTAGGAGAGAAACAATGTGAAATTTGGGTCTTAAGTACTTGGTGAAGAAAATGCCTGAGGGGCTCTATGATGATCCTGTGTGCTGTTGATTCTGACTCACAGTGACTCCATAAGACAGAGTAGAACCTCCCACTGGGTTTCCTAGGCTATGATCTTCGTGGGAACCGACCACCAGGTCGTGTGTTTGAACTTCCAACCTTTCGGTTAGTAGCTTAACCCCTGTGCTATCAGGGTTCCTTAATGAGCTTTATAGAATTCTAGAAACATGCACAAATGTTTTCTTGGGTGGAGAAGGATCACAGCTTGATGTACAATTTGCTTCCATTGATAGACTGTGGGAAACCACTGTGGGTTTAAAGACAGATGATTTGAAATTTTAGCCAAGCTACAGAAAAGGAAGGGAAAGAAAAGGAAGAATGAGACAGCTGTCAGAAATGTTTTATTAGGTATAAAAAGAAAAGAAATTCTTGAGGATTTGTCTATTTATCAGAATCTGTTTCCAGAATTTATCAGGAAGAATGATGAGAGCTCACCGAAATCCTCCTAACAATAAGTTATTAACATTGAGCATGTTCTATGTACCAGGCACTATACTTAATAAACGTGCTGCACGTATAAGGCAAAACTAAGGCAGAAGGAGATGGCGTTATCACCCAAGTCTACCTAACTCCAAGTGTTGTTTGCCTTTTTATGAGTCCTGGAGCCTCTTGTGGGCTTGTGTTTCATGGAGCTCCATCGGTTTCAGCTTTCAGGAAGTAACATGCATTGGGAAATCTTCCTTAGCACGTGTTCATTTGCTGGGCCAGGCTGCTCATGGTCCATGCCCAGGGTCTCTCGGATAAAGCCCAGAGTTCCCGTGATGGGGGATTTGCAGCTGCTCCCGTTAAAGAGCTTGCCAGATGTGTGGAACGGAATAAAAATCCCCGGAATGCCCTCCCTGTTGGTGTCATCCATCATCACGGCACAGACGGCTCCTCCAAGGGCCTACCCCAAACCCCAGCCCTGTCGACCCGCATTTGACGCTTCCAATCCGGCTGTCGGGGCAAACCCAAAAGAGACCCTCACTGGCAGGTGACAGGACAGCTGATGGATGGCTCAGCCTGTGTTTCTGGGCAGAGCCAAGCCAGCTTTGAAGAGGCTTTTCTGCAGGCCAGCAGGCTGTCGCATCACCTGCTTTGGGGAGCCGGGCAGAGGCTGGGCTGTTTGATGGTCACCTCCTCCATCACACATTGGGGACCATGGCCTGGGCACCTTCTGCTCCAGCAAGACCTTCACCATCCACTATCCCTAGCAAGACTAGCCAAAGAAGTAGCTGACTATGAACATGGCTTGGTATTTCATCAGCCATACTCTTGTCGAAATCAAGCAGGGATCTGATAAATTTCATCAAAGCACAACCACCATGTGAAGTTAAATCAGATGCCTCACAAGGATGTTTTTAAAACCTAACCTGCTCTTTGCAGAAAGACCCAGCCTCTACATTGCATTCCACTCCACAGTCAGAGGTGGATGGAAACCTTCAAGATAGACCCCAGGGCCCGAAGGTGGCTGCATCAGATGCCCTTCATCTCCTCACCAAACTTTCAGAAGCTGCTAGCCAAGTTCTTCTAGAGTCCAGAATTTCAAGATACTAAATTGGGTATTCTCACCCAATGCTTTCCTTGCCCTACCAAATTGTTTCTCAGCCTAGGCTTGGATGCTTCCAGTGATGGAATGGAGGACTCACTGCCTCCCAAGACTGTCCATTTTTGGAAAGCTCTTCCTGGTTTGCCAGTCAAATCCGACCCTGTAGCTTCTGATCTATTTAATTCAAGCTGTAAGGCTTATTGAGATAGAGAATGAATCTAACCCCTTTTCTGTGATCTCTGTTCAGCAGGGTCATTACTTACAGTTGTTCAAGTTGTTCACTGTGCAACCCAAGGGGTGTCATCAACTCATAGTCATGGAGCTGTCTATTACAACTTTCTGGCACATGGCAGTACTGTGTCTTGGGGTAAAGGCACCTCTTAATTCCCATGAAGTTCCCTCATAATTTAAGGGTGTGGTTGCTTCTCAGATGCTTGAAGAGTGTGGGACTCCTTGAGTCTTTGGTGCTTCTATTCCTTCCACTCTGTGAACTCACAGTGTCTAGAGCTCTCTCTCTGAGGCCCTGAGCACAGCCCCAGACCAAAGCATCCTCCTGCGATGGTGACTGAACAATTGGTTCTGAAGGCTGGGCATGGGGCAGCTCATTGAGCCTCCTGACTTTGGACATTGTCTGGGCTCTGCATGTGGATGCTGGCATGGCCATCTGCATGGGGAGCCCCCTGAAGTATGATCTTCCTAGGAACTGCACTAGATGGTGTTGTATTGGATCTTCTCATTGCTTTTGGGAAAGACACAAATGTTCTCAAAACTCATGCACCATGTATATATATATATATATAAAATTCAGTTCATATACATATATAATTCATTCATATATATATTCAATTCCACAGGCATTCCCTGAGCTGGGAATGTGGGCTGGACAAAGACCTAGCACCAAGTGTCACTTGACTTAAGCTGGCACAAGTCTGTCTACTGGAGACTATTGACTATCATGCTGAACTCGGATCAGTTACCGCCATCTTTGCTGCAAATAAACTTGACTGCAGTCGCCCTGTGCCATCCACTGTGAGTGACCAGCTCAGGTCATACTGGCAGAGGATCCTGGCCCCTGCTCTGGGCACCTTCTGCTCCAGCAAGACTCTTGCTGGACCAGTCAGGGTGAGTTTCCTCCTCTGGAGTTCAGAGCATCCAAGATAGACTCAGCCCTGCTCATCCTAGTCCAGTGTGAGTACTGGGCCGAGGAGAGGGAAAAGACAGAGAGAGAGCAAGAGGCTGTGATTGTGTGTGTGTGTGTGTGTGGGTTTGTCATGTGTGTTGTGTGTATATATGTTGTGTGTTATGTTTGTGAGTTTGTGTGTGTGTTGTGTGTTTGGGTGTGTGTATTGTGTGTGTTTGGGTGTGTGTATTTTATGTGTCTGTGCTGTGTGCATTGTGCGTGTTTGTGTTGCATTTGTGTGTGCTGTGTACTGTGCGTGTATGGGAGTATTTGTACGGCCTGTAAAAGTAGCTTCAAGCCAGTGAAGGGTAGCGCTCCCTGGATGGGGACATGTTGAGTCATGAGTAAATATGTGACCAGGCCAAGGGGACAAGGGCGCAGAGAGTCAGCCAGCGGCTGCCTACGTGGAACTAACCCCATGCTCTGGTGTGGAGGTGCTGGCTCCTCACAAAGGAGTGGAGTCAGTGGGTAGACGTGGCCCTACTCAGCCACAGCCTCCCTTTGGCTTTGCCTCCACTAGCTGATAGAGTGACGCTAGGCAAGTGCTTCCCCCCGCCCCCCAGCCACAGTTCCTCCTCTGTAAGACAAAGTGGCTTAACTCCATCAGCAGTTTTTCCCTTGAATCCTCATGCACTGTGTGTGCACACATGCATATGGACTCCCAGGTGTGCAGTTGTCTGGGAAAATTCTCACAGGGGTCTGTGATGCCCCAGAACAGAGGTACCCCAAGGTTTCTGACACTCCCATGCTTGGGCCCCCTTTCTTCCATCCCAGAGCCAGCCTATGGGTGGTGGGAAACCCCAGGGTGACCAGCAGACTCACCTGGGTCCGGGTCTGCGAGTAAGGACATCAGGGAGAACTGGAAAACAACACAGAGCAGAGCCAAGGTGAGTCCTGGGCCCCACCAAGCTGGCTGTGCTTGCTGAGCTCAGGCAGCTGAAGGAGATTTTCCCAGGATCCCACCCAGGGCGTGGGAGCACTGACACTTTCTGGGGGTTGAGGCTGGGACCAGGGTATTGAAGGGAAAGGCTGGGTCTATTGGAAGACATCCCTTCCTTCCTGTGCTGGCTGAGCCTTGTCCCTCCCCCTCAGCAGGGACTTGTGTCATGTACTTACCTGTTCTCAAGCTGGTCCCTGACTGTACAGGTATGGGCAATATTGTCTATCACAGTGATTACCATGTATGCAGCATACACCCTCTGCTTGGTTTTGTTTTGCTGCAGTTAATCCTTGTTGATGGTGCTGGTGGTTGCTCTCAAGCTGATCCCAACCTCATGACAACCCCACATTTGACAGAGTAGAACTGCCCCAGGGGGTTTGCTTAGTGGTAATCCTCACAGAAGCAGCGCAGCAGGCCTATCTTCCATGGTACCATTGGGTGGGTTTATAACAACCTTATGAGGAGACTTTTATGAGCTTTCTTAATATATAAAAAAACTAAGGCTCAGAGAAGTTAGGACATCTCCCTGAGGTCACACAGCTGTGACAGGATTAGGTCTCCTACTTTGGTCTAGGTGATCTTCTGGGGCTGACAGCTCCTTGGGGTTTGGGAATAGACCAAAAGAACCCATTATTGTCAAGTCAATTCTGACTCATGGTGACCACATAGAACAGAGCAGAACTGCCCCCTCGGGTTTCCAAGGCTGTCACCTTCACAGGACCAGATTGCCACATTGTCCTACCATGGAGCGACTCGTAGGTTTGAACTGCTAGCTTTAGATAAGCAGCTAAGCATCTCACCACTGCACCACCAGGGCACCCCTGGGGATGGACAGCTGTTGAAAGCCTCCAATGACTCACTGTTGGTCATGGAATAAAATACAAACTCCTTCCATGATCTACAAAAGCCCTCCCCACCTCTCCTAATCTCCTCCCATAGCCCACACTCCCACTGCCCCTTACTGTACTGCAGCCGTACTCCATCTCCTCTCAGATCTTCAAAATAGCCCAGATCAAGCTCCTTCCACCTCAGGGCCTTTGCACGTGTTCTTCCCTCTCCATATGGCTTTCACTGGGTCTCAGTTTAAATGTCCTCTTCTCAGGGAAGCCTTCTCTGACCACGGCATTAGTAGAGTCTCTCCTCCTCCCCATTAATCTGCCACTGCACTCGGTCCATTCCCCCGTGGTTCTTATTACAGCAAGGCTGACTGGCCTGTTGTCTTTCATACCAGACTCTGCCTCTTAGGATGATAGGAATATCATCCAATTCATCATTAATATATTACCTTATACTTAGCGCTGTGCTTGGCACATGGCATCCCTCAAAAAGTATTTGTTGAATATGTAAATATGATCTGATCAATTTCTTTTAGAATATAATACTTACCAGAAAAAGAAATCTTTATTCTTTTAATAGTTGGTATATTTTCTTTCACTTAGATCAGTGGTCGGCAAACTAAGGCCTGCAGGCCAAACCCAGCAGTTGCATATTTGTAAATAAAGTTTTATTGGAACACAGCTATGCCCATTTGTTTACATTTTGTCTGCGGCTGCTGTCATGTTACAATGATAGAGGAGTTGTGGCAGAGATAGAGTAGATAGAGTATGATATTTACTGTCTGATGCTTGTTGAAATTTTGCCAACCTTCACTTTAGAAAAAGAAAGTTCTAACATTGAACAAGTTTCCCTTTGGGTCCTGGTTGTCAGAAAGCTGAGATCAACATGATGCGTCTTCCCAGTATCCACATCAATCTAAGCTGCTCGATAGATTTGTTTCCTCTATCCTGGGTGACACAAATTTAAGCACTCACCTACCAACCAAAAGGTTGGTAATTCGAATCCATGCAGGGATGCCTTGGAAAAAAGGCTGGTCACCTGCTTCCAAAAGATCACAGCCATTGAAAACCCTGTGGAGGGTAGCTGTACTCTGTCACACGTGGTGTCACCATGAGTCAGAATCAACCTGATGGCCACTGGGTTTCTTTTCACCCTCAGCAGAAGTTTAAACTTTCTATTTTACATGAGCCTTTGACAGTAAACCTCCTTACACTGTTTTGGAAAGTATGAAGAAGATAAATTAGGAAGGAAGATAAAAAGAAAGAAGGAATACTAGTATGATGTATCAATGGCACAGTGCCACCTAATAGCATTACCGGCAAAAATTCGTTTCCCTGTCTAATCATGAGGGACATGATCCTAAGTAGGGGGCATTCTACCAAACATCTAGCCTAAACTCTACAAAAATGTCAGCTTCAGAAAAGACAGAAAAGAGGAGAGGCCTGTTCTTTATTAAATGAGACTAAAGAGATGTGAAGATGACTTGAAACACTTGCTGATGAGGATCAAAGACTCCAGCCTTCAGTACAGATTATATCTCAACATAAAGAAAACAAAAATCCTCCCAACTGGACCAATTAGTAACATCACAAAAAATGGAGAAATGATTGAAGTTGTCAAGGATTTCATTTTACTTGGATTCACAATCAACACCCATGGAAGCAGCAATCAAGAAATCAGACATCGTATTTCACTGGGCAAATCTGCTGCAAAAGTCCTCTTTAAAGTGTTAAAGAGCAAAGAAGTCACTTGGAAGACTCAGGTGCACCTGACCCAAACCATGATATTTTCAATAGCCTCATAGGCATGTGAAATCTGGACAATGAATAAGGAAGATGGAGGAATTGATCCCTTTGAATTGTGGTTCTGGCAAAGAATACTGAAAATACCGCAGATTGCCAGAAGAACAAACAAATCTGTCTGGGAAGAAGTACAGCCGGAATGCTCGTTAGAAGAGAGAATGGCCAGACTCCATCTCACCGACTTTGGTCATGCTGTCAGAAGGGACCAGACCCTGAAGGACGATATCACGCTTGGTGAAGTAAAGGGTCAGTGAGAGAGGAGAGGACCCTCAAAGAGATGGATTGACACACCGGCTGTGATGATGGGCTGAAGCACAGCAAAAAGATGGTGAGGATAGTACAGGACCGGGCATTTTTTGGTTCTGTTTTATGCAGTCACTATGCATTGGAGCTGACTCAACACACCTAACAACAACAACAACAACAACAAAAGCGAGGTGACAACAAAATGTAGCATGTGCTCCTTGATCATAAAACCAAAAGCACAAAGGACATTATCAGGACAATTGGGGAATCTGAATACGGACCTTTATTAGATAATATTATCGTGTCAGTGTTGAATTTCTTGAGAGTGAGGACAGCATTGCGATCCTGTAGGAGAATGTCCTTACTTTTAGGAGATGAGTGCAGAAGTCTTTAGGGGCGGTGTCTGTAGTTTATGTGGAAATGATTCAGCAAACCAAACCAAACAAACAAGTGTGTGTGTGTGTGTGTGTGTGTGTGAATGAAAGAGAAAGTAAATGTGATAAAATGGTAATAATTGTTGCATCTCCCTGGATGAAGGGCATTTGTTGCATTGGTCTTTCCGTTTCTCTATAAGCTTGAAAAATTACAAAATAAAAAGATGGGGAAAGAAAGGAATGAAGACAAGGTGAGGAAGCCATTTGTTATCTGAAACTGTGCTCTGTTTAATCTCCTTAGGGGCACCCAATTCTGTTTCTGCAGGAACTGAGACCAGGGCTCAGTGTTTTCTGTTTGTTGTTTGGAGGGCGGTGATAGTATGGAGGCCCGGCCAGAAAACTGCGTTCTCAGGAGTGCTCCCAGGCCTGGGGTACTTGAACCAGTAACCTGAGGAGCCCCGATACCTCTAGGCATGAGTTCCAGGGAAGTGGCCGAAGAAGGGGTATGAAGGTCTCCAATAACAAATGTGATTCCTCCTTCCACCTTACTCTCACCACAGCCAGTCACACCTGCCTCGATCCTGGTCCTTGTCTGGATCTCCACCCAGCACTGCTTAATTCTTTCCTTGAAGCTGAATGAGTTAGGCCAGGTCTGTTACCCTCAGCCCTGAGAAGAGGGTAGACAGGAGGGAGGAGGCCTGGGAGCATCCTTCCTTAAGGGTAGTCCTCCCGGACCTGCCACTTGGGCCACAGCCGCCAGTCTTGGCTCTAGGTGGAGCCTGAGGGACAGCCAGCTGCTGCATTGCCCACAGCCAGCAGGTGGCAGACGTGCCCTTCCCAGGAGCTGCGGCAGGCTCTCAGAGGAAATCCAAACAAAAAGAAAGCAGGACCTTGCCTGGCTGCCTGGGCCTCCAGACCCCAGTAGCTCTCAGAGACTCGGAAAGCTGCTGCCACCCTGTTGGGCTGAATTCTAGGGGGAGGAGAATGAGAATGACTATAATCTCAGCTCACATTTATGAAGAGCTGACAGTGTGCCAAGGACAGTGCTGAGTGCTTTTCATGTCATTTATTGCACACTACAGTTTGGTATTTTAAGTACCGTAGTTATGTCCATTTTAGAAGGGAGAAAATTGTGGTTTGCAGAGATTAAGTTGTCCAAAGTCACGTAGCAGGATATAAGGGAGCCAGCCTTGTTCTTGCTGTATTCCCCATTGCTTTGAGGGCTGAGGCAACCACAGTGAGCAGGTGCTGAGTGAAGGGCTAGAGGAGAAGGAAACAGAAGGGTCCCTAACCATGAGTCACAGGATACAGATCTAGGTAAGAGATCAGGGCCCCTGCCCTTGGACAGCTTTAGGAAGGATCTATCCAGACTGGTCCAGGCCTAGCAGGCCAAATAGTTGGCCATTTGGCCCCAGCAACACTTAGGGAAGGTATAAAAGTCAGCTGGAGCCTCAGCCAGCCCACAGGGGCAAACACATCTCAACAAAGAGCTCCACTCAGATTCAAAGGCACACAAGCCATGCCCACTTCTACCACATCCATTCCTGGTCCTCAACACGTCTCATAAAGCAGCATATGGTCACGCTGACCCAGCTCCTCACATAGGGCTGGAAACAGCTGCTTCTTGTCTGTGGAAAGTTAGACACTTTGTAAC